TGGACATTGATACATACTGTGCCATTTATTTATTTACTTATGTGCTTACTTATTGGCACTCTATATGAAATGTTTATGTATTAATATTACACTCAAAATTCCCCATAAGTTGCTGGCTATTTAAAATATTCCAAATAGGGTTTTGTGTCTTCCCACGACTACCACATTTTAAGAACTGTGTTAAGTTAACTTGCACCTGATTTAACTCATCAGCTCATTAGTAGAGATTGCAAGACCTGGGCTGTGTTCGAAATCACCCCCTCATTCAGTATTCCCTACATTGCTCCTCTAATGTAGTCCACTTGAAGGAGTGAATGAAAAATAGTGCGCCAAAAGGGCTGCCGCTTTTGCATAGTTTGTGCTTGTTGTATAATCATTTAGAACTTGGCAAACTGGCAGGTCCAGTAGTAATACAAATATTTATCTGGAACTATGTCATGGAATCTATAATGAATAAACCTTAATTAAACAATTTAGTAATCAATTAGAAAGGTATTTATACCGGTATGATATAATATTACACTGTAGCCACATTGGACCAGCTGCTTGGAAAATGGATGGACGATTCACCTGCAGGCGCCATCTTCTGGCGAGATGCAGGAATTCATTCGGTGCGACCGTCACAGTGCATTATTGGTATTCTCTAGCTGTTGAGCCCAGTGCTGTGTTGGAATTTTGTAATAAAATATCCAAAAATCACTTGTACAGTGTGATATATTTCCTACAGTTGTGTAGGCCTACTTACAATATCCCAAAAGTCTCCAAAGATTTTTTATTTCAGAGAAATTCCAATTTTAAATAAGTGGCCGTCCCGGAAAAAAATGTCGCCTGTCAATGACGCAATATCCGCGCTATCCTCGGTTTCCGTTCATACTGCCATAGCCATGACGTAAATACAAATATGGCGACAGACGTGGACAACTGCGTAGTGCGTAACGTTTAGCGGCACCCAGTTCTTGTTTCTTTCAAACATAGACCATGGCAAGCAGACTTTGGGACAAACAAGGAGAACTAAAATGAGGATCAATATCAGCCTGGCGTTTTTGAGATGCCGAGAGCTCCACGTCCGCGACTAACTTGGACTTGACAGAGCTTCACGAGTCACGACTTGACAGCTTTATTAGACAGGTGAGCAAATGTACATAAAACAAATCAATGTTATATAACGTTAGCTCAAAACGATGAAATGTTAGAATATCGTCAGTATGTTATTCTAATGTTGATCTAGCTTACTGCTAGTTTCATATAACAAACGAACTAACACGTAGTATAACATTATAACTTTAAAGACATTTAAATGCCGTTTAGTGTTTAGCGCTGCGTTACCTCACAAGTTTAATTTGTCTAATAAACTGACCTGTGTGAGTAATCCAGCACTTGCGGGTAGTTCGGTAGAATTAAATGTCCTTATTCCTTTATATCCGCTGGACACGCGTGTGATATCTGTCTCTTTAGCAATCGCGACCTGCTTCATACCACTGTAATGTTAAAAAACATGAATGCTTGCACTCATCCATAAACATTATCCATCAGCTTGACAGCAAGTCCCATCATTCAGCTCATCACTGCGTCATCAACCTACGCCTTTGTTATTGTTTGAAACTGCGCTATTGTCTTGTGGCAAAACAATGAGTAACACTTTATTTTGATGGTCCCTTTTGAACATTCTGTTGACTATAAGTAACTTTGCAACTACATGTCAACTAACTCTCATTAGAGTATCAGTAGTCTGTCTGCTTAATATCTGCTAAACTCTTTATTGTGTTGATCCTCCAACAGACATGATACTTACTGACTATAAGTAACTTTGTCAAGTCAAGTCAAGTCATCTTCATTTATATAGCGCTTTTAACAATGGATTGTTTCAAACCAGCTTTACAGAGATAAACATATAATTTAAGGTAACAGAGATTGTTTTGGTTTTATAGCGGTTCTTGAATAATGTTATATCCAGCTAAAGTTAATTTTGATTGATTCTCCTCCGTCGAAATGATCAGACTTTAAACGCGAACCTGTGATTACCGCTGACGGCGTTCACATGCACATTCATAATTTATTCTATAGTTATGTGCTTTTGAAAATATGTGAGCAGGTTTGTAATTCCATACAACCCATGCCTTAGAAACAAACTACTTGTCTTGCCTATAAATTTTGATACAGAATTTTGTTTTATTTTATCACTTCGGGGTACGCCAACCGAAATTCACAACGCTTTATCTATAGAGTTTGCAACTACATGTCAACTTATTCTATCCCTAACTAGAGATGTTCCGATACCCTTTTTCCCTTCCCGATACCGATTCCGATACCTGGACTCAGGGTATCGGCCGATACCGAGTACCGATCCGATACCTGGGTCTGTACAGTATCTATACAGCTGCAATTCATACTAGCACTGTATGAATTGATAGAATTATTTTATGGTGTGCTTCAGACTTATCCCTTAATTAAACATGAACAAATACATAGAGTGAACTAGAGTATTTTTATTATCTGACATACATTTCACAGCAATATATTATTTATCTTTCTTAAGTGAAAAAGAACTTAAAATGCAGCCACACATCTAATACTGTAAACTGAAAAAAGGTATTTTAGATTTACAATATATAACTGTATAAAAAAAGTGCAACAAATAAATCTAGGAATCTAAAAAAATGATATATGAATAATATAAGAAAAGTATCTCTTTATAATTTAAGGTCCATAAACAGTTTTGTTAAATAAACGGCATTTCAGTTTTGACATCGGCTGGTCATCCAGAATAATAAACTTAATAACTTACATGTTGTGTCAGTGATATATTTATGATCGCTCGTTGGCTGTCTTTTGAAAACATTTCTCTTCGTTTGAATGAAGCTTTCAGAGATTGTTGATTCTGGCGCGGCTCATCCTTCTCTGCCCTTGCCTTTGTGTAATCGTGTTCTGCGGGGTTACTTGGTGTTACTTGAAGTTGCTAATACTTGTTCCACCCCTCGAAATTGCAGTATGGCATATAAGACATGTCGCCGTTTTACTAGCTGGTTGTCCAGTCTGAAAAACTGCCAAACTGCGGACATACTGCAGGGCGCGCGCGCGTTTTCTTCTTCGCTGCTCTAAACAGTGGTTGCTTGTGTGGCAACAGCACGACTTCCTGTGTTGCCACAAGCAACCACTGTTTAGAGCAGCGAAGAAGAATTGAGCTCCGATTTGCAGCGTTACGCAAAGCTAGCGTGCATAACTAGTTATTGTTTAAGAAAATGGTATCGGATCGGTACGCGGATAGAAGTACTCGCCGATACCGATGCCAGAATTTTTATTGGTATCGGCGGCATTTCCGATACTAGTATCGGAATCGGAACAACTCTATCCCTAACCCTACCAGTCTACTAATACTTAGTCTCGCGTAGCCAGACCTTCAGACTGACGGTTGAAGGTCTGGAATTCATAGCAGCTTTCTTTGGCCAAGGCCCGCCCATAAGGCCGTTTGACCGACATGTCAAACAACCAATTACAGTTCGTTTCGTTCAGCGTCACGTTTCGGTGCGTGGAAATGTCCCCACAACAACAGACCGGCGTGCAACAAGTCAGTCTGCATAGAAAATCAAAGAAGGAGAAGAAAACTTCAAGAGTCTATGCCGTGAACCTCGCATACTTTTGAGAATCCTACGTTCAGCTGATCTTGATAAATGCTCTTTGTCACTCATGTAAACACAACAGTTTTTCTTCCGCAATCACACGTCTGCGCTTTGTTTCCCGGCGGACCGAAAATAAACGCGACACTCGCGCCCCCCCCCCGGAAATCCGATAAAATTCAACCAATCAGATGACGACTTCGACATTGCTGAAGTGTTTCCAGTTAAGTGTACCATATGCATCAGACGTTTAGCCAACGTTCCGTGGGCGTGACGTCTGAGGCTGAGACTAACTAATACTCTACTAACACTCTAGTGAGAGTTAGTAGAGATGTAGGTGCAACGTTACTTATAGTCAACAGAATGTATTAAAGGGACCATCCAAATAAAGTGAAACCAAAAAATCTTACATATTGTGCCTTTAAATAGAGCATTATTTGAGGGGGCAGCTATTTGCAGTGGTGCCTGAAACCATAGTGGACATTATTGAGTGCACTTATTTAATCCTACAATGCACCGCAATAACGAGTGAACAACCAATGTACGCTCAACGGCTAAAGAATACCCATAATGTACTGTGAGAGTCATGCCGAATGAATTCCCACGTTTTGCCAGAAGATGCCGCCCACATCTGAATCATCCATCCATCCATTTTTCAATGTGGGTACGGCGTAACATCATATAAATTCCTTTTTAATTGATTATTTTAATAAAGGGTATTATACATGCTAGTTTCCATGACAGAGTTCGAGATAAATCTTTTCATTACTACTGGAGCTGCTAGTATGCTAAGTTTCAAATGATTATTAGACGGCAAAGCGGCATCCCTTCCGGCACACTCAGTGTCTGAATTTACTCGTTTTCATTCACTCCTTCAAGTGGACTATATTAGTGGAGTCATGAATGAGGCTATAGGGGGCAATTTCGAACACAGCTCTGAAGTGTTTGTGTCAGATAAGAGAGGCTTGCAGAATGTGCAGTGCTGGGGGTCCTGCAGGACAGGTTGGAAAACCCCTGTAGTAGACAACAAGGCGGCTCCGTAGGTGTTGAAACAGAGCACTTTGGTGTTAATCTCTCTCTCTATTTATCTTTCTCTGGATTTCTTAAAGGTAATATGAGAATCACAGCAATGTGGGCAGGTGTTCGAGTTCTGTGTGTTTTCTTTCAGCCAATCACTTCTTTCCTTTTGCAGGCTTTCATTCGACAGGTCCTGGCTGACAAAAAACTGCCATAGGAAGGATTAGAGTGGAGGTGTTAGTAATTGTGCCAGTGTTTTATATTCAATTGCATGTTTTTGTTCACATTTTTGTTACATTCAGTGCTTAAACAAAGGCATGTTTTTTTATTTAAGAACAGGCATCTCATTTTGTTTGTCTCTCTCAACAGTGGAATGGTATCGGCAGACTTTTTGTCCACTAGGAAGTGAGCAAGAACGTGTAACTGGGGTGAGAGATGATGGATGCTGTGGACTCTTTGCAAGGCTCATCTCTGGAATCCAAAGCTGAACGTATCGCCCGGTACAAGGCAGAGAGAAGGCGGGAGCTGTCTGAACAGTATGCCAACTTGGAGGAAAGTTCATCCGTGTACACGCGGAGGGAAAGACACCGGGAAACCACAGACACCTCAGATGCAGTGCCCAGCTCTGAGCAAAAGAAGACAGATGTTTCCTCTGGACTGAGTCAGTGCAATAAAGATAACACTGCTCCGAGAGAGCAAGGAGACAGGAGCAATTTTGAGGGAAAGGCCAAAACAGATGCCACACCATCCTCTAACATCTTTGTTAGTCACAGCAACAAAGTAACAAGTTCACACCAATGTCACAGGTGAGTTTGAGTCAATGACCATTGACCATTTAGAGACTTACAAAGATCTCACGTTTCACTGCTCAGTAAATTCAGACTGAGGCAGCATTTAGACATTGGGAACTGAATAGTCACGGAGATTGAGCCATGCAGAGGTCTATGCCAGGACACATCCTGCTGTTTTGACATCTGAGCTTTTTGTTTTGGTTTAACCTTACTGAAACTCAGTCAACATGGTTTGTTTTTCATTTCTGGGCAATTACAAACAGATATAAGCAAATGTGCGGAGGTTGGATAGGCGCCGTAATTCCGCCAGTTTGGAATGTTCTTGTATGGAGAACAGATTAGAACTTTCTCTTCATTGTTTGGTTCTAATTCTCTACATCAATTGGTCTCAAACTGTCGGCCTGTGAAAGATTCCAAGTAATCTTTTAGTTGATTGATTGATTAAATCCGCAATTATATTTTTTAAAATTATTTTCACGGATTAGGTGGCTGTAATAAAGCTCATGACAAAGGAGATACTCAAGGAGACTTTTAAAATAATACCGGTACTCAACACACCAAACAGGAGAAAATCTAGGAGAATGTACCCCCAGACTTAAAGGTGCTGTATGTAACTTTTTCACTCTACTAAAGCATATAAATACCATAATATGTTTGCATATATTGAGGAAACATGCTAAGTTCACATACTCGTTTCTCTGAAAAACACTTCTACAGCCAGTTATTTTACTTTGAAATGTAAAAGTTTCCAGGCTGGAATGTTTGTCATTGTTTTGGTCTGTGATACTGCACGTTGGCAATTTTCATTGTCCATTGCGCTCGTTCCTGTTGTGTGTGCTCAAACTGGCAACCCTTGTGAGCGCTGTCCAGTCTGAGGAGCAGGTGGCGGGAGAAACCACGATCTCTGATATTTTGAATTCGACTGCAATACCTATTTAGACCACTAGTTGTCATTCTTACATACTGCACCTTTAAACAATGCAGGACAAGGAACTAGCTGAGACAGAGGGCCTAAATACACAGAGCAAAAAAAGAGGGAAACTAACTAGACACACCTAAAATGAGGACTCTAATCAATATGTAACCATGGAGACAAACAGGCAGTGATACTGAGAGAATGGAACCAATTAACAAAGTAGAGGCAAAAGACAAAATAGAACAGACCAGGAAAACTGAACAAAACAGAACAAACACGGTACAATTATATTATTATATATAATGACTGAATGTAATACAGTATATGTAATATTATTTTATATTTAGCTAATTGTAATGAAATAAGAACTGGCAAAATTGTAGATCTGTAAATGTAAAGCTATGTAGTAAACTAATGTGACGTTTTACATTACTTAAAGACCGCCTGTGGTGAAAATCAAGCGTTGTTTTTTATATGTCTATGTGGTGTTTTTAAATATATACTTTCAGACAAAACGTGTGCAAATTCATGTCATCACCATTGCAGAGTATTTTCTCGGCACACAAAGACAGTCTCAAAAACGCAGTTTGAAATCGCTGGAGTTTCTGACGTCACAGACTACCTTGTAACCAATCACGTCAACGTGTGATCATCAACGAGTGGATCTCTGAGCTGGTGTGAATGAATGGAGGCAGGGCTAATTTGCATTTTCATAGAACCGCATATACTGAGTCAAGACTAGGCCTATATAGTTTACATTCAAGCTATTTTAAAGCATGAATACTTTTTTCCCCAATGAAAACATGTTTAAATATATCATTTTGGTGATCAAAGATGAGTTTTAAGTGATACAATTATTGACTACAGGGGTTTAAGATTACTTAATCTGAATTAGTCTGTGGTTTCCTCCAGATTTGTGGTTTTAGGTGGTCCACAATTTTTTTTTTTTACTGTTGAAGTGGTCCACTATTTAAAGGTTTGCGAACTTTTGGTCTATACTGATGTATGATGTGCTTTATTGCAATTTGCAGGCCTGAAATCCATAAGAAATGTTTTGTATCTTTAAGATGAAAATGCAAATTTCAAAAGAAATTGAGACATTTCTCACCTTGTAAGTCATGATACAAGCAATTCTTTGTACTACCACCACCCTGTTGCCCTTATCTGATTTGTTTAAAGTTCTGTGATGCAGTCGCTTAATTTTCTAGAGACTAACAAACATGCCAGCTTTTCTTATTACCTCATTAAAATTGATAGCATAAATATGAGAGTTGCATGTTGTCATTGTTCATTCTCAGACTCAGCCATTACACGTTAAACCAGCCTGTCCTGTCCCGGCATGTAACTGTTTAGTCTTTAGTTGTCTATTGTAAGTGTCTCTTATCTGGTTTGTGTAGGCTTATGTGTTAAAGTGAAAATAAACCTGAACGGGACGTTGAATATCACTGACAACAGCCAAAGCGGATGCGATTTATGAGGTGACGCAATGGTAGTCTTTAGCTATTTTTTCAGATATGTTTAAGAATCAGTGAGATTGTGTGCAGCAGACGTGCTGGCGGTGGATTTGATCTGACCACATTATATTCTGCCTTGGTAATCTTTGACTTGATCAAAGAGGTGCTATCTTCGAGCATTTTCACCTGTAATTTGAATTACCATGGAAATCTGTACCAAAAGTTTGTCAAAAATCTGAATTAAGCTATTTTATTTCAAAACTAAATTAAATTGGATGGGTTGGAGTGGATAATAAAAGAAAAGCAGCCAACAACTGTCCAGCACCAGCATGCATGTAAACTTAGTCAATACAGTTTAAAAAGCACCTGAGGATGCACCCCATTCTGAAGAATGAGTAGATGTTTCCAAACTTTTGACTGTTATAAATTAACAGAAAGGATGTTGGAATTTATTATTTTTAATTTTTTGCTCATCTGTTTTGTGTTATAACAAATGCAGCCATGTTGGGCTGATTATCTGACACAATACCTCGAGGTAAAGGAAAGCTAAAAATTACCAACAGTGTTGGTAAAAAATATTTTTTAAATTTGTGTTGCAAAGCTCAGACTATCTTGACCAGTTATAGAGTTCGATGAGAAGAATCTCTTTAAAATGGATCCCAATAGAGATGTGCTAAATGACTAGTTGGGGAGGGAAGCAATATATAACCGGATTGTGTACCTGTGTAATTCTGTCCTCTGAAAACACATCCAGCATGTCTAATAGGGTTCAGCTGCAGGCTACTGTAAAATCAAGGCCATTCTTTATGAATGAATGAGTTGGGTCATGCTGTTTCAACCCCTTACCTACTCTTTCATCAAATGTTTTCATTTCCTCTGCTCTCTCCTACGTTCTTCTATTCCGAATTTTATTGTTTGACCTTCCCAAACTTCCTATTCCATCTTTTTCCTTTATTTCTTCCTCTGTTTCTGTTGGCCAGGATGAGTGCATCCAAGTCCTTTGACCTCTCTCAGAAACCCAACACATCAGGTTCAGGGCGTGCTTTAGAAAGATTTTCAGAACATTCAACATTCAGAACATTCCTGGGGCAAAGGATAGTTCTTGCCCTTCCAGAAATTGTCTTCAGCCATTCAGCATTATTTACTCACCCTCATGCTGTTTCAAAACTGTACTGTATGCTCTATTTTGTCCCCATGGAACACAAAAGGACTGCAGCAGTTGGTGATCATGAGCTGACAAGGTCCAAAAATAATATATTTTGAATATATTATTCAAACATAAATTTGAATAACTTATATTTGGTCTGTTTCTCACACACTGATAATCACCCCCCTCTGCTGCAGCTATAAAATCAGATTAGAATGTTACTCAAATGCTCATAACCAATTCCCATGGCATCAAAACTGTGCCTTAAGCACCATGTGGTCATGATGAACTTATGAAAAGATCTACAGTATTTGAAGATTTCACTGCAATAATAACAGCAATGTGCCTTTGAAAGGACATGAGAGTGAGAAAATTATGACAATTCTATTTTTTGGGTGAAGGTGAACTTCCTTCAAAACTTCATACCAAGACCAATATGACTAAAAACGTTATTACAATTGAAGATATTTGCAAACAACAATATGTAAGTATTTACTTTTTTTTTTTTTTTTGTAATTTTCTGGAAAAACTTTGGATACCTAAAAAAATGTGGATGTTGTGTAAATATCCCTTTAAATTTGTCATGTTATTTAGAAGTGTTTCCCCCAGTGGGGTGTCTCTTATGCCATGTTTCTCCTCTAGTAGAAACTTGTACACTCTAAACACATAAAGCTTTGTTTGTTTCTCAGAAATGTCAGTTGTCTGAGCATTGACTCATTGTAACACAACCTTTGGTGAACTCTCATAGGGAAAATAAAACTCTACTAGTACTCTACTATGATAGTTCATGGCACATTGTGCTCGGCTTTGGGTTTTGATAAGCTTCTAGCCATATATGCTGTCTGATAAAAAACGAGTTTTTTCCTGTTAGTTGTGGTTTTATAATGACATATTTTTGCTGGTCCTGTTTGTGCTGTTATTTCTTGAATTTCGTTCTAAAATTAGTAGTTTCTATTCCTGTGTTAACACGGTCTATAACAAATACATACTTAAAAAAAAAAGTCAACAGGCTTTAATTGCTTCACAGCATAAATCACGTGGGTCTGATCAACAGGGTCCATACGCAGTGTTCACTGCTCCTTATTCACTGAGCACGGGATAGTGAAGATATGTTGAACTTCACTTCACAAAATAAGTTCATTTGGAACACCCTGCAAATGTCAGATGCTTGATTTGTGCATATAGAGAAATCTAAGGTATGATATGATGAGAAGGTGTGACATAATATACTGTAAATAAATATAAATTACCTTACATTAGTGTCATAGATTTGTATAAAATAAATCCATGTGTGTTTATATAAATATAAATGTATTAAGTATTATCAATTTAAGTAATATAAATCGTCTTATTTGAAAGCGGTAAACTAAATGATAAATGTCTGTTGTATTGTTTAATATGAAAAGCGTAATTTTTTATATTAGATACCTTTTATCTTATTAAATATAAATTATATATTAATCATAATCTGATAGTTACATTGTAATTGTTGCGTCTCTTGTACTTTATACTTGCGAATAGCTGTGTACAAACCACAGATGGGAATAATTAAATGAGAGTAATAATGCCGGAGCCGCAACTCAGTTTCACTGCCTTAATTTATTAAAACTTCTCTATGAGCTGAAATAACTGGTGTGTATATTTCCCACTTCCTGTGTTTTTTTTTTTTTTCCCGACCAAAAACGTGCCTATAGCTGCACACATCACTTTTTAGGTGTGAACTAGCTATGGCCTCAAAGCATTGATAAATTAAAAGGCACCAATTTTTAAATGTATGGTTTCATCTCAGATATGTGCCTTTCACGGTTTGTTTTTCACAGATTTTATTGTTATCCAAATATGGAAGTGTTATGTAAAAAGTCCATGACACAGCCTGCATGACTGTAAAGAAAATTACAATGACTTTACAAGTTATAGATTGACCTGTTGCTAGTCTTTACAGTGCTTGAATAATCCTTTACCAATGTGTAGCATTTATTATGTGTAGTGTGTGCTTTCTCATGCTTTTATCTACCACAGAGTTCCCATTCTTATCTGCCTTAAGCAGGACAATGGAAATGCCGTGAGGGGCGACAAAGCGGTGATTAGGTTTCAGGAGCAGCTGTGTCATCTTTTGTTTGCTTGCCACATATTAATTCATAAGCTCATTAGTCTTTGCCTTTCTCTCTCTCACACACAGTCCACTGGAAGCAGAGGAAGCCAAGAAGCCGCAGGGTAAGTCTCCTTTCCTTTCATTGGCTTCAAAGAGCCCCTTTGTGAAACACATAGTTCCTTTCTCTTGCCTCAATTGTGCCACACTCTCCCTTTTTAAAAGAGCAGAGAGACAGTGATGTACTCACATACAGCTGGAGAGAATCTAGTGAAACACACAAAGAGCCTTACACACAGATGTGCACATGTGTAATTGTGTATACAGCCATCCTGTTCCGCTGAGAGCTTGTTCAGTTCGAAGTTGTGATACTCAAAGTAGACCCAGACCCCCGAGTGGCCTGTACACCACAATCAAAAATGTATTATTATTTTTTTTAGGAAAGGGAGTTTCCGTGTTTAACACATTTTGTACACATTGGATGAGTTCTAGTATGTTGCGTCACATTTGATTTTGTTGTGTCATTTGTTTGCAGTTTAGACGTCTTGTTCATTATGGCAGAATTCTAGGTTTGTCTTGTCAATTGTTTACAATATAGATGAGGTGTTTGCTGGCCAAATACAATAAATTAGGGATTCACAATATATCTGCATCACATTGTTATCTGTCAATATTATTTGATGTCAATAATATTTTTTTGAATTGTTATTGGAAAATATTAGATATACACTACCGTTCAAAGGTTGGGGTTCAATACATTTTTTGTTTGTTTTTGAAAGAAGTCTATTATACTCTTAATCTCCATTTATTGAATCAAAAATACAGTAATATTCTAAAATATCATTATTTAAAATAATGAATTTCTATTTTAATATATTTTCTTTATTCAGGTCTTTGGTGTCATGTGATTTCTCAGAAGTCATTCTAATATGCTGATTTTATGCTTAAGAAACATTTCTCATTTTAATATTCAGACCTGAGATTGTATTATCATAAAATATAAAATATGATATAAATTATATGATATTATATTAAGATTTTTGTGGAAACTGATGTGTCCTTGCTGAATTATATTCAGTCATTTCTTTAAAAATAAAAATCTTACTGACCCCAAACTTGAGTGGTAGTGTATATCGGCTGATATTGGATATTTAATTCTACATACTCTTTTCTGCTTATTTTTACACTTAGATTACCTTTAGAGTTAATATTTATTAACACTTATAATTTAATAACACTGATAAATATAATCTTTTGCGGTCTCAAAATTTAAATCTTTTTTTCATACTTTCACTTATAAAAAAATTATTTATTTTTAGTGTTTACATTTTTTTTAACACATCATGAAATAGATGATTAATTTTGGCCTTTTATTGGTTATTGTTAATAGTATCACATAAAATATTGGCTTTTGTGGTATATTCAAAGTATAATGCGAATGAATTAATCATTTACATTAAGACCAGGAATATGTATAAAAGTTAATAGGGTCCTTTTTGCACTTACTAAATGACTTATGACTGCTTTAATAAACAAGGTCATTGAAATGTTCAGTAACCAACAAACACAGCTACATGTAAGAACAGACACATTTTTAAGCCACATAAAGTATGATTACTTTCAGGTCTAAAAGTGGTCCCCAAACCACGTAATTTGAGTACCCCTGCTTTATGGGTTGGTTTGAGTGATCACAGTTTCTGTGTGCTGTATTCTAGTGCTTTCTTCTCTGATCTGCTTCTGAGTATTTTGCAATGAGGTCATTCATTTGAATGTGTGAACTCAGCAGGTTTTAGGATTTGTCCACATCATTGATGCCTCTGGAGGAGTTGGACATTTTTGTAAAGTCAGCTGCCATTTTACTGTAAAATCAACCCACGACGTGAAAGCGGCCTGATTGACAATTTTGACTGACAAAGGTTTCAACAGCAGTAATCCTTTGTATTGTGTGACTCACAGACCTCCCCTGTTGTTATACTGGACTATAAAATAAGACACAAAATACATCACTGCACACACAGACACTTACAGCAATACATGTTTTTATAATCTGTGACCAAACAAAGGACAACTGGCTGGATAGATGGATGGATGCACACAGACATAACGTACACACATAAAACTGCACTTATGAGAAATTGTTGAATCGAATCGAAATCGGATCGCAGTGCATCGTATGGGGGTGAATAGTATCGCATCAGTAGCTGCTTTATATGTATCTTTAATGTATCCTATCGTTGGCTATGCATCAAGATGCGTATCGCATCGGCCTCAGTTATGGAGATCCACATCTCTACTATATTCTATATATGAATACTATTTCTATTCTATACTTTTCTATACCTAAAAAATAACCCACCAAATAGGTTTATTTCATTTGTATCTTTAAGTTTTATTTATTTGAGCTATTGCTAATTTGTTTATTTGTTGTTATTTTATTACTGACTGTGTACTTGTCCTTAATAATGTTTGAAATTTATATTAGTTAGTTAGGTTAGCCATAGGCAAAAGTTCCTTGTGTAAGTGTTCTTTAGGCTGCTGATTTTTGTTCATGGTTTTTAGCTGCAACCAAATGTTTTGCAAAAAGAGACACAGAACAAATATGTTTGAAGGTCTCTTTTGTAAGAGAGTTACTTTTCTATTAAATATCAAAACCAAAACAAACTGTGAAACGATCCTTCTGGGAGCATGACTTCACTCAGTACATCTGATATTGTGTGCAGCATGAGGAAAGTTTCCTTCAGGCACGTTGATTGGTGTGCATGCATGTGTGTTTGTGCACATTCTGACATTACACTTTGTTTGTGTGTTGACAGATGAGGGGAAAGCAGATGACGCCAAAACCGGTATGCCTGCCAAGACGTCTCTTTTAAAAGTAAGTGCCCTTTATCTGTAAGCACTGTAATGGACAGTTCATCCGCCTGTCACCTATGGAAGCATGAGTAGCAATATTCAATTTGAAATGTAATATGCAAAATGACAATGCAATATGTAAAATGGCAATGCATTTCTATATTTGAATTTATATTTTCCATTACATTTTGTGCAACGTTGGTGCAAAATGAGAAAAAAATCAATTATATGATTTACATTTGCCATTTCATACACTAGTTTTAATATGCAAATTGAATACATATTTAAAACCCTCTGGGGACGGCAAACGCGCCGGCGCGTTTTGGCAGATTTTTTTCACATAGCAGAAAAATAGACTTAAACTACTCCATCATTTCTGGTCATACAGTGTTAAGAAATATTAAAAAATAAACTGTTAAATGTCTACTTTTTTATGTGCCCACCTATCGAAATAAAATATTGTGCTTTTGTAAAATAAAGAAAATAAACAGGGTGTGCGTTCTGCCTCTCCATGTGTGATGATCTGTAACGTGATGCGGTGAAGGCAGAGAGGAGGCTGGATCCAAACGCAGTGTACACGCTTTATTTAAACAAACTATAAACTTAAACAGAGACTCAGAACTTGGAACAGGAATCTTTACACAGGAACGACCAACACTCACGTTAATCCTGGAACAGAACATACATTCAACAACTCACAAAGACAGGGCAGAAACACAGGGCTTAAATAATCAGGGACAAACGAGCTAAACAAGGGGGCATGGGAAATCAGAAACACCTGGGATAACTAATAGACAAGACAGGGAACCATAGAACATGACAAGATACAAACCCACATCGTGACATAACCCCCCCCCTTAAGGGCGGCTCCTGACGCCCATTAAAGCAACAAAAAATGCAGGAGGGCGGAGGAGCATAGGCAGTCTTAGGGGAGGGACGGAGGGCCAGGCCCGTGCAGGGGAACGGACCCTGGACATAGACAAGGCGGGCCTGGGCCCGTGGAGCGTGGGCGGGCCTGACTGAGGCGGAGGCCAGGGCGGAGCAAGACGAAGCGGAGGCCAGGGCGGAGCAGGATGAACTGAAGGCCACGGCGGTGCAGGAAGAGTTGGCGGCCAAGGTGGAGCAGGATGGGCCGACGGCCAGGGTGGTGAAGCAGAACATGCATTCAACAACTCACAAAGACAGGGCAGAAACACAGGGCTTAAATAATCAGGGACAAACGAGCTAAACAAGGGGGCGTGGGAAATCAGAAACACCTGGGATAACTAATAGACAAGACAGGGAACCATAGAACATGACAAGACACAAACCCACATCGTGACACCATGTCCGTGAACTTTTTTTCTGGAGCACGTCTCTTAAACTTAACTCTCTGGGGTCGGCGGTCTCGCCGGCGATACCAGCTCACTTTTTTCCTTATCAGTGCAAAAGAGACTCAAATTACTCTGTTAATTTTGATCTTACATATAAGTGTTGTACATCATTCGATCCTGTTAAGTTTGTATTTTTTTTGTGGAACCTCATAATAAAAACAAAGTGTTGTGCTTTTCGCCTAATAAAGAAAAATAAACATGATGCGCGTTCTGCGTTCTCTCTGTCAGTGAAGTCCATTCTGAAACGCGTCCGAAAAATCATCTGTAACTCTGCAAATACTCAGTCAAACCGGTATACAGGCACACAGGCATGAAGCCTGAATTATCTTCTTTTAAATGAAGTAATTTATATAAAAATTTTTTTTTCTCATTTTATGTAATCTGTACGAAAAGAGAGAGATGATAGTCGTTCTCGTCTCAGCTCATTAAAGTTAATTTGACCACGCCCACAGAGCGCGCGCTCTATTCAAACACAAATGCGATCCACGCCCACATCAGCTGGATAACCCACGAAAGAGACTCAGATTTACGACGCTGTGAGGAATAATAGTTCTATCTTAATAATAATCCTGGAAAAAATTACCTCAGAAGTAGGCTACAGGTAGTTTCATTTGGAGGAGCAACGGATCCAGCCGAGGAAATAGGTACATTCTTTATTTTCAAGTGCTTTGTGCTAATCGCGATATGGAATAGTGTCTGTAAACAAAAAGACTGTTTGAATCGCGTTTTTGTGTGTGAATGAATGAACAGCTTTTACCTAACTATATTCCAATACTGAGATGAGTAAAAATCGACTGAAATATGTTGAAATAAAATATTTTTGTATAAGCAACGTATTAAACTGCAAATTAACATTTATATGTCCTAATCATAAAAACGATGTGTTACATATGAAAGACAAGATGTCGTTTTTACTGTAAAATACTGCCACATCAAATAAGCTTGTTTGCTAAGATGTTATTATAGTGTTTGTTCGATTGTAAGCTATATTCAAACTAATTAATCCGCAACTGTGAAATATGTATGATAAAATGTATACTTTAGTATATAATACAAAGAAAGATTACATTTGAAATATAGTTAAAATTTTAATTGTTGTTGTAATTGTAACCTTTTTATTAAAATAGCAAAAATATATGTAGGCTACATATAAATAAATCTTAGGTAAATCTTAAAAGCTCAATATAAGCCTCCTCTTTAAATTATTTGTATTGTGTTTTATTAGTGACACATTTGGGATATATTCCCAAACTTTCTGTAAAAACAGTATGATAATTAACTGCACAATTACTAGAAATTTTTACATTTGATATTATACAATTTGAAAGCACAATTTGAAAAATAAATAAATAATTGGAACTGTGAACCAATTTTGTATTATATAGGCATATATATATATATATAATATATATATATAATATATATATATATATATATATATATATATATATATATTATATATATTGTCATTGCATTCTTGTGGCTCAGTGACACACCTGAATGAAAGGGTCATTAGTATGCAGCCCATTATGCGCTCATTATGCGGGCCCATTGTCTTCTCAGGTGTGAATCACAGCAGGTCACACCCCTGCGCATATTGCCTTTCCAAACAAAAAGTGTCATTTTTAAATTTAAACCAATCTATTGTTTTACGGAATGATAAGGCAGGATGATTTTCAGATCATTTTGAAGAAAAAACTCTAGGCGACGACATCCATTAGTCAAAAGTCTTGTGGACAGATATTTAGTATGTGTTTTGTGGCCTTATTTCAGAAACTTTAAGTTTTAGTTTTTTCAATAACCACGCATAAACAATATTCTCTCAAAAATACAAAAATGTACATACATGTTGATAACACATTATGGTAGCCCTGTGTGTGCTAAATAGAGTGTAATTACACCTTTGCCAGTAATATGTTTATAAGCAACTGAAAAAAGCACAAATGTCAGAGTATGTCAAAACATCTCAAGGACCCAAAAAACACCTTGGACCCCAGAGGGTTAAACAAATCTCAGCGAATACTATTCACCCAGACATGAGCAATATATGTTTATGATCATTTAAGTTTGTACTTTTAAATGATCTAATTTAAAACTAAAATAAATATTCTCTGTTTATGTAATCTATATAAAAAGAGAGAGATGTCCGCCGTTCTCATTATCGTTCTCGCATCTCATTATTCCGCTAATGTGACACGCCCACGGAGAGCGCGCGCTATTCAAACGCTAATGATCTGAAGCAACACATTGAGACGTGTAAACGCCGACATAAACTCGGTAAACACTATATTTAGTCAGATTAATGTTGACACATCAGGGATGGCTTCCCAGGCCTTGGCCCGAGTGACTAGGAGCTGAATGAAGTTTAGGGGAGGGCCGCCGTGCGTCAAGGACCCGGCCACCCAGGTGTTTTGAAGAGGAAAAGAGCTATTTTTCTGAAAATTTTTGTGCTTTATTTTTGTCGCTGTTGAAACAGCATTTGTTTGCAAGGGTATGTGAACTGAAACGGGCCAGTAGGTTGAAATTGGAACATTTCCAGCCGCCTGAACTAAAGAGGCACATGAACTCTCTCTGGGGGTGGTCCGGCCGCAGCGAGACTTAACCCCTTTCTCTTCCTTCCTGTCCTTGGACTAGGAAGGCTTCCGAGGCTCAGGGTCCAGCATAACTTTAGGCTGGGGGGACCTGGTGTTGCAGGAACTGGAAGCGCTTAGCTGGCTGTGGGCGTCGATTGGTTTCAGCCGCTGGGCGCTGCGCAAATCCTTGAAGGCTGTGGGGTCCGGTCCAGACTCGTCCAAGGAGCGGAGGAGTTTTGCCTGGAACACTTGGAGGACCGCCATAGTGTGCTGGGCTGAGGCAGCTTGACCAGCGGAAGTGTAGGCTTGGCCGTCGAGAGCTGAAGTGGTCCTGCATGGGTTAGATGGATGCGTCACTTTAGACCTCCATCCGATGGCGGTGGGTGGGCAGAGATGTGCGGCCACCTCTTCCTCTTGGGGTGGGGCAGTTTTTCATACCCCTTTTCCTCTGCGCCGTCAAGGGTTGAGAGCGCTGCAGAGGCAGAAGTGTGTAGGCAAGCTGAGTAGGGGGCGCACTATGACTTCGTCAGTTAGCCACGAACTTCAGGGAAGAACGGCGCCGGCCGCTGGCGAGGGCTCTATTGGCGCCCCGGCAGAAACCACTCGTTGAGGTGGCTTCTAGTTGTCTTTTCTGGTGAAGACCAATCAAGGCGTCTCTGCTCGCCCTGGCGCCACTTCTGCTGGACTGAGACGGGGGTCGGGGTCAATGGTTGAGCCCGACCAATCATCACCTTTGGACGCTGCCAATGACAGGCTGTCGTCGTTATCCTCCTCCGGACAGACATGCATCTCTTCAATGGGCTGTACTGTTATTTAATGTGTTTTTGGATTGTTCTGCTCCCGACAATATAAACTGTGGAAAATTTCAAGTAATCTAGGAGCTTTTTACTGCTTTTTACCTTTCCCTCACAGCCTCACTTTCATACCTGCCATGGCGCTGCTCTGAATAAGGTCTATTTTGCTGACGTTTTGCATTGGGTGGGGGCGGGGCCAACTTCACGCAATAAATGACAAGAGCGGAATGGGGCGGGGACGTGATCGGCTTGGAATGCATTATCATTTTGCATATTACATTT